TGTGTGTGTGTGCGTGCGCTTAAGATGGTCGTTGCTCGCGACTCGGTGCTGCGTGGCGTGAGTGTGTGGGTGTGCAGGTATAAGGTTGGCCTAAATAGAGTACCCCTAGCAACGCCACGCCCCGCCACTTCCACGCCTCGCAGCCAACGGCCAAGTCCAGGCTGCAGGCGCTGCATCGGATGAGCCCCGGCCTGAGCTTGGATGGCCGACAGCTAACTGAAGCCTTAGGATGTCCAAGCCGGGCACCTTTCTCTCCCCCCCCCCCTTTTTTCTCTCTCTCTCCCTCTCTCTCTCTCTCTCACTGCCCGACTCTCCTCTCTCTTCCTCTCGCTCGGCCGCGTGCTCCTTTTTTACTTCTTTCATTTCTGTTCTGCTGTTGCCATGCTGCCTGCTTGAGCCCTTTCCTCTTCTTCCCGAGGGTGCGATGCTCTGGGCTCTCCGCCTCGGGCGTGGCGGGGCGTTGCGGGGCGTGGCGGGGTGTGGTGGGGCGTCCTTGGCTTGTGGAAGCAACGGGTCTGTGCAGTGTCCTGGCTGCCAGCTCCGTCTGGTCCGCCGCTTTTCCTGCCTGCCTGCCTGGCCGCCAGGCGCGCGGTGAGGCACAGGTACCCGCGGCCGGGTACCGAGTCCATGAGTACTCTGCTGCCAGTCCTCAGGTCTGCCACTCACGACAGGCAGATATTCTCTTGGGGATTCTTCTCTCAACTCCGCCGTCAACTCCCGGCGCTCCGTCTGCGGTACTTTTTTGCGGGGCTATTTTTGTTTTGCAAGTCCGAGAAAAATATGTGTGTGGTCTTAATTAAGACTGTGAGTTTCGAGTGGTGGTGTGTGCCTTCTGTTCACTCGTCTCTGGCATTTGGATTAGCGCGTGAGTCATCCGTCCTTCCAGCTGGCGCTAGAAGGGGGCGGGGCGAGGTGGGCGTGGTTGGCGGCAGTATTGATGGGTAGGCTGTTTGTGCGTCGCCAGAACACACATGATGTTTGTAAATCCAAGCATCGCGCTTT